GTTGAAAACTGTGAAAACCAAGGGAAACGGTGAATGGTTAGCTAACCAGAAGCCTTGTATTCAAGCCCTAGAACACATCGGGTTCATCTTGTTACTGTTGACATGGCTGGTTGGAGATTCAGCCTGGCTTTGCAGCAGGAATGGAGCCAATTCTAGTAGTTTTCTGACATCTTCAACATGGGAAGAAAATATCTTTATTATGATCCTCACCAGGGAACAGCTGGTGCAGTACAAACCTTCATCCCTCCCTCCCCAGACCTGGAAAAAGTAGAGACAAGGAACTTCTTGTGTTTAGAGTAGGGGGAGGGTTCAAATACAGTGGGCGTCCTGAGACTCAGCCAAGTATCCACCACCTCTTCTGTGCTCCCCCCACCTGTTGTACCCCTGGCTTGGATTGTGGTGCCTGTGGGTAGGTGGGACTCCCCTCTCAAAGGACAGCCTGGGCTGTGAACCCCAGCATAGCCACCTCAATTCACTGCCCCTCCCCCCAGCAGGGGCCTCTGGCTGGATGGAGCAGCGGCAGGCAGAGCCCCTGGGACTGTCGGAGGCTTCCGCAGTGAGTCAGGTGAGAAATGTCATCAACAGCAGAGCTAGCAAAGGCAGCAGCAGATGCAATGAGGCCTAGAAGATAGCCAGCACCTTGCTATTAGTGTTAAACTGGGTATTGCCAAATTCACTTGGCAAGTGTGACCAAGCTCCTTCTCTCCCTCCCTCCCTTCTTCTCTTTTTAAATGAAGTAGAATGAAATAGAAAATATCAGAGTACTTTACAGCTACTACTTTACAGGTAGTAAGGGGAAGTACTGTTTTGTGAAACGTCTGTTTCAGTTACATGTCTGTGTTCGTGTCCATGTGCTGCTGGCTCAAAATGTAAATTGTAATTCTTCTTCAGGGTTCTAGGCAAAATGTTAAAATGACACTGCTTTATGTGGCTTTCCCCAAGGAAGTGACATTTGAGCTGAATCTGAAGCTACCAGGAAATGGGCACGTAGAAGAGGAAGAGAGAGGCTAGCAGTGCCAGGGCGTGGCTGTGCCCACCAGGTTCACAGACACTTGGTCCGTTGGCCGCACCCCGCTGCGCACTCCCAGGCTCTGGGACTGCACCGAACCCGCCTCTGGAAATTCAATAGGTTCTGCCGCTGCCTCCCGCCCAGCCCAAGCCCCAGCTTGTTCATCACAGGGCTCCGGTCCCTGGTCCAGCTTTGCGGTGGTAGGTGCTCAGTGAACACCTGCAACAGCCTGCTGTCCCCCATCCCGGGGGGCGGAATCCGACTTGCCTGGCCAGCCCAGGCTTGGGGCAGAGACAGGGGACTGTAACTGTGGGTGACTTCCTGGAGGAGGTGGCCTTGGAGCTGGGCCTTTCCAGCTGAGGAGCACTTGGCTCCCCCAAACTCAGCCATGCAGCGTCGTTGCAGTTGGGCCTATGTGGGCCCTGCAGACCCTGCGGGCGCTGGAGGCGAGCCCCCTCCCCGAGGCCTGGCGGCCCTCAAGGGGCGATGAGCTCATGGAGGGCGGCGACGCCAGGCGGCCGGGTCGCTGGAGCTCACGGCGCGTCCCCGCCCCCCCCCCATCCCGTCCCTGGCTCCTGGGCGATTTTACCAATTAAGGCTTTCTCGCCGGGCCGGGCGCGGGGCGGGCGCGGGGCGGGGGTGCGGCCAAAAAGAAGGCGGGTGGCGGTGGCCCATTCGCGTGGAGGCGCGCGGCGCGCAGCGGACGCCCGCGGAGCCCTGAGGCGCCTGGCACCCGCGCAAAGGCAAGCTGAGCGCCACCCCGCGGTCGCCGGCCGCCCGCAGGGACAGCAGGTGAGGCGTCTGCAGCTAGGCTCCGTGCTGGCTGAGGCGAGGGTGGAGAAGGCGGTCAGAGAGGCCCGAGAACGCAGGCGTCGGCTCGCGCCCAGGCCCGGGCCAGGTTCAGCTGGGGTGCACGAGCGCGATGGAGGCGCCCCTGGCGTCGGGGAGTGGGTGTGCGGGCACTGCCTTCCGTAATTTGCCCATGGGCAGTGTCTGCCCCACAAGTGTGGAAGCCCAAAGCCACGGGGGTCCCTTAGAGAGAGAGGGTGTCTGGGCTTTTGGCAGGAGACTGGCGCCTGCACAGCTGCCCGTGAACCGACCACTGTATGCCTGTGTGGGAAAGACCCAACGACACCAGGACCTTGCATGGGCTGAGGGTGAGTGGCCCCTCCCTGGAAAGCCACTTTTAAGCCAGTGTGCGCACTGGGAGGGTGGGTCCCTTGCTGGTGCAAGTCCACAGCTGCTTTGGACACAGGGGAGCTGGTTCTGGGACTGCTGTGGAGCCATAGCAGGGGTGTGGCCAGGCCAGATTCCCCTGCTGGGCCCTGGGCCCTGGGCCTTGTCCCAGGTTGGCTCTGGGCTGGATGTTCACTGCCAGCCAGGATATGAGCAGCAGAGTCCCCAGTTTCCCATGCCACCTGGGCCAGGAAATTAGGTGAAATCCGCTGGCAGGCCCATTTGTAAGTGCTCCAGGCTGCACTGTCAAAGTGGGAGCTTGGAAAATGGGGGCCCTCATCTGCCGCACCAGCCCAGGTCTCTTCTCACCTTGCCAATCTTCTATTTCCTTTTCTCCTGGCGCCCCCTGGCTACAAAGGCCTGGAAAGGACTCCTAAAGGATCCCAGCTGAACAGCCCCTGGCCTTGGGACTATAGCTCCCTGTGGGAGGGCCTGGCCTGGGGTCTGAGGGCCAGGGGTGGTGTGGTGGGCGGGGTGTGTCTAACGTCCAAGAATCTACTCCAAATAAGGGAAAATATGAAAGAGCTGGATTTTGGCTTCCCAGGACTGTCCGATCTGGGGGCTTTGGGATCGGGCGACATCTGGTGGTGATACTGTGTCCTCCTCAGGAGAAGAACCCTCTACATTCCCATTGCTTGTTTTCTCTAAATAGGGAAAACCTAGGGCTGGAAGCCAGGACACCCACCTTCTGACACCCTTTCTGCTGGAACTGAGTACTGGTCGGTTACTCTGACTCAGTTTCCCTGCTCTCTGAACATTAAGGAATGAACCCAGATGACCCAGCTGGATGGCACTTAGTGGAGAGAGAATCAGTTTTGATGTAATTCCAGCCCTGGGAACTTGTTTCTCAGTGAGGCACAGGGATCAGAAGGACAACCTTAAGTCTGTCTTGAAAGAAGCCTGGCAGGGAGGGATCTGCATGGGGTCCCCCTTGACAGCTCTCTCTCCCACCTCCCCAGCTCCCAGACACAACAGCATGGTGCATTTTGTGCAGGTGTGTCTGAAAGTGGTCAGGAGAGGAGAGAGTGTAGGGGGGTGGGCCTCAGTACTTAGAAAGTGCGATTTGGAGCCCCCTCAACCACCACTGGTGGGAAAAAAACAGTGGGGTTACAGGCAGCCCCGAAGTGGACGTGTTGATAGGCAGGGGAGATGCTGGCTCGGCTTGCAACCCCACCACCAAGGTTATGGGAGAGCCAACCATATTTGGGCATGACATGCTGGCCAACCCAGGGCTTCCTTCTCCCACTGGTCTTTAGCAGATAAATTAATTATTACTGGAATCAAGCAGTATGGACAGAGACCTTCCTTTCTAGAAAAAAGACATAGAGAAGGGAACATCCTAGAGAGGGGAGGTACACAGGACTGAGAGGAAGAATCCAGGACTGGTGAAGAAGCCATAGGTAGGCTGGCTTCTCTTGACTGAAGAGAGTGGCAGTGAGTGTCCCCAACAGTGCTCTTTCCCCTGTACCTTTGCTGGTCTCCGTCTCAGCAAAGCGGCCTCTGCACCATCTCCAGTTATCTACCAGAAAATTCGTTTTGAGTGAATAGCTCGCCACTGTTCTGGGGACACAATCCAGGCTTCTGAGCAAGTCTTGGCAACATTATATTTCATACTCCCCCGACCCCTGGCCCTCTGACCCCCTTGTCCTTGGGCCCCCTCTGGACCTGCCACCACACCTGAAGCCCACCCAGACCCAGCCTGCCAAGCCTTATGAGAACCCTTGAGCAGGTCCTCTGGGTCTGGAAAGCCATTCCCCTCAGCCCTCTGCCCTGCCACGCTGGGCCGGGATCACGCTGGGCTAGGGGCCATTCTGACTGAAGAGGAAAGCACCCCCCGCGGGCCCCAGGTGAACAGCACGGAGAGTTAGGCGGACACACGCTGCCTCTGCACGCATGACACTGCGCCCTCTGCCCGTGCCCATTGGCTTGCCCGGGCCCCTTCGAAGGCTGCTTGCTCCTGGAGTGCTGGCGGCCTCCTGGCCCAGTGCCCCATTTCCTCCCGGGTGGAGCGAGGAAGGAGGGAGCGAGGGAAGGGGAGAGGGAGGCGGTGGGAAGCAGCGGGCGCAGGTGCGCAAGCGAGGGCCATGCAGACGAGAAGAGCGGGCCTGGGGCAGGGGCTCTGCGGGGCCCAGCCGGGAAGCCGCTTCCCTGGCGTTGCTCACGCAAAGCGCTCCCAGCGGTGCCTGCCGGGGCCGGCGGTCGCCAAGGCTTCGCTCTTGCCCGCTGCTGCCTGGGCAGCCGGGAGCTCGGGGAAGGGGGACGACGGCAGGGGGCGCGAGCGGGGTGCAGGGACGGGGCGGAGCCCAAGCGACTCAGGGACCGCAGCCACACCAAGAGCGCCGACTCTGCCCGCTCCCACGCCCAGGCAGATCTTTGCTGGTTCCCCTCGCTCGCAGGCCCCGTCCATCTCTCAGGTCTGGCCCAAACACGCCGGCGTGTGACGTCTGGCTGGCTGGCCGCAACCCTCCCTGGCCTCTCAGCCCGGCCCGCTCCCAAGGTTCTACCGGTCTGCGCCGCCTCGACTCCCCCGCAGGCCCCGCCCCCTTCCACCCCTAGCCAATGCGGTCGGCCTGTGACGTATGTGGTCGCCAGGCCCGCCCCGCAATGCGCGGCCCCGCCCCGCAATGCGCGGCCCCGCCCCGCAATGCGCGGCCCCGCCCCGCCCACTCTCCAGGCCAGACCGATCTGCGCCAGCTGTTCCGCGCGATTTGGCTCCGCCCCCCGCAGCGCGCGCAGCCTGCGGTGTCCGCGGCCGTGATGCGAGAATGACGCAGGCGTGACGCGAGCGCGGCCGCTCCCGAGGCGCTCGCGCTATCCCCGCCGCGCTCCGAGGCAGCCGTTGCTTGGCCTGTTTCGCCAGGCCCGGGCCAACCTCAGGCCTTGCCACCCCACCAGCCATGGACGACTACGCGGTTCTGTCGGACGCCGAGCTGGCTGCCGTGCTGCGCCAGTACAACATCCCGCACGGGCCCGTCGTGGGTACGCAGCGGCGGGTGGGACCCCTCCCGGGACCCGCTCCGCCCTGAGCCTCCCCCCCTCGCGCCCCCCACCCCCGCGCTCTTCCCCGGGCTCGCGGCCCGCGTCCCTCACCGTCCCGTGTCTGGCCAGGCTCCACTCGCAAGCTCTACGAAAAGAAAATCTTCGAGTACGAGACCCAGAGGCGGAGGCTCTCTCCTCCCAACTCGTCCGCCTCGTTCTCCTATCGGTTCTCAGGTGAGGTCCCCGCCTCGCTGCCTCTGGGGATGAGGCTTGGGAGACGGGGAGGATGAGGTCGCGAGGGCGTGGCAGAGCGCTGGTCCAGAGGGGCACTGGGGCGAAGGGAGGGAACCAAGGGGGCAAATGGTTCTGTCTCTTCTCTTCAACTTAGACTCGCATTCAGCGTCGGTGGGCTCAGATATGTACGACCTGCCCAAGAAAGAAGACGCCTTGCTTTATCAGAGCAAGGGTAAGGCAGGGTGGGTGGGCACCTTGGCACCTTCATCCCACTGTGTCACGGACTGCGGTCACAGGGAGACCCTGAGACCTCAACCCCCACCACTCTTCAGCCCTAGAGGGTAGAAGGCTGTGAAATGGGATTCAGATTAGGGCCATCGGGCCAGGTGGGGGACACCAATGCTCCCTCTGCTATCACTGCCCCCCCTTCCCAAGGCTATAATGACGACTACTATGAGGAGAGTTACTTGACCACCAGGACTTATGGGGAGCCCGAGTCTGTGAGCACGTCCAAGGGCTTCCGCCAGCCTGTGACTCCACTCTCAGATGCTGACACCTTCCACCACCAGGTGAGCTGGTTGGCAGGCACCCTGTACTTGGCTATAAGCTAGAGGATCATGGCTGGGTTTGGATAAATCGAGGGGACCACTGGGTGAAAATGGTGGCTCCTAGGCCTCTAGGGAGAGTTAGGGTCAGCAGACACCTGTTTGTTCAGGGTCCCAGTTTGGGGAGCCATCAGAGCTATTTGACTAGAGCACATGGGACGTGCCTTGCACCCTGGTCTGGGATCTAGGTTTGAGCTCTTTCTGAGCATCCTGGGGGAGAAAGGAGGATGCTGGGGCATGGACAGCCAGGACAGTCACTGAGCACAGGTGGTAAGGCCCCATAGACCAAAGGCTGAGAACCCAGAACCGTTGCGGGATGGGGGTGGGCTTAGCCTTTAAGCAATGGTCAGAGTGGGCCAGCTGGGGAAGCTTGGACTGAGGGACACAGCAGGGCCATAGTGGCCCTGCCAGCCAGTCTCCTCACCCCGATTCTCTTCTGCAGGTGCGTGATGACAATCTTTTTTCTTTTCCTGAAAAGGAAGGCAAGGATAGGTGAGTAGTGGGGAGGCCCAGGGGCTGGTTCTGGGCCCAGGCACCCTGGCCCACCTACTCCCCTCTTTTACCACAGGGAACGCCGCATGTATGACCGGGACAGTGCCTACCAGAGCATTGCGCACTACCGCCCTGTTTCCAACGTCTCCAGGAGCTCCCTGGGCTTATCCTATTATCCTACATCCTCCTCCGCCTCTTCTGTGTCCTCATCTTCATCTGCCCCTCCTTCATGGCTTGCCCGCCGTGCCATCCGGCCGGAAAAGCAAGCCCCTGGGGCTGGTCTCGGCCAGGATCGCCAGGTCCCGCTCTGGGGGCAGCTGCTGCTTTTCCTGGTCTTTGCGGCCTTCCTGCTCTTTGTTTACTACTCCATGCAGGCTGAGGAAGGCAACCCCTTCTGGATGGAGCCCTGAGGGTCTCAGCTTTGGAGCCAGCTCTTCTCAGAAGTCCTGGCTGACTGCCTTAGCAGTGTTTGCTGGGGGTCGGGGGTGGGGGGTGGGGGCTTTTCTGTGTTCTAACTCACAGGGGTGGGCCTAGCCCGGGGCAGTGCTTGTTTCCCCTGCCTTGTCCTGCCAGGGAGGCAGCACACTCAGGCCCTCCTGCGTAAGGTGGACCTGGTGTGCCTTCCTCTGGAGCCTCCTGGCCCTGCTTCCTCAGACCCTTAGGGCCTGGGAGAGCAAGACCTCACTCCTGCAGAGGGGACTGTGGTGGTGGTGGTGGTGGTGGTTGTCATGCATGCCTCCTGTTTCATTGTCACCTTGTTGGGGGGATTAACCAAAGGCCACCCTGACTTTGTTTTCGTGGACACACAATAAAAAGACCATTTATTTTTAACGTGTTGGCTCTCCCTGCTGGGGTAGGGGTTGGGGTCCCATGGCACAGGCCCTGGGGCTTAGGTCTCAAGGATCACTGTCTGGCTTTATTGGTTCTGCATTTTCGCTTTGGTCTGAGGGTAGGGGTCAAGCGCTACCCAAAAATGTTTGCGTTTTGTTTGTGAGTTTTATTCCCTCATTCCCCAAAGCACTTGTTAACAACTTATAATGATGGTACAACAGTATGTAGAGAGAACCCACTTGGAAGTGCAGGTACAGCTGCATGTACGATACCAGTTATCTGCCAATGTCGTCACTGGGAAAAGCCTCGTGTCTAAGGGCGTGGGGATGGAAAGCAAGCATCTCGGTAATGGGTGGTTCCTCAGCTCTTGAACTGCTGCGTGTTTAGTGACGTGGGCAAAGCTCCAAAGACTGAAATGCCTGATCATCTCTGCATACTCAAATTCTTCACCTGTCTATATTCTCACTTATCTCCCAGGTTTTCTGCCTTAGATATGTATTTCAGTCTCCAAAGTTTACATACGTGTTTCTTTTCTTTTCTTTTTTTTTTTTTTTGAGACAGTCCCACTGTGTTGCCCAGGCTAGAGTGCCGTGGCGTCATCCTCGCTCACAGCAACCTCAAACTCCTGGGCTCAAACGATCCTCCTGCCTCAGCCTCCCGAGTAGCTGGGACTACATGCATGTGCCACCATGCCTGGCTAATTTTTTCTATACATTTTTAGTTGTCCAATTAATTTCTTTCTAATTTTAGTAGAGATGGGGTCTCGCTCTTGCTCAGGCTGGTTTCGAACTCCTGAGCTCACACAATCTGCCCGCCTCGGCCTCCCAGAGAGCTAGGATTACAGGCGTGAGCCACCGCTCCCGGCCCATACATGTTTCTTAAACTGGAAAGCAAGTGCTGAAGAAACCCAGGATAGAAAGCCACGTGATGCCTTGCAAGTCTGGTTCCAGCTGCCAGCAGAGGGCAGGGAAGCAGGCCCTTACCTTTCATCTCCCTGCTGTGGGCAGTGGGACTCACCCTGGCCTCCCACCTGGCACAGGACCCATGCAGTGCCTATGTATGCACCCATGGGCCCTTGAGCTTTCAGGGGCTCTTGGCTATCTATGGTTACACAGTTTATGGCAGGACTGGGACCCTACCTGCTCCTGACCTCTTTGCTGCATTCTAGTCTGTCCCCACCTTTTTTTGTGTGTGTGATTCTAAAAGTAATACCTGCATGATTCTGTGCATTTAAAATAGGCAGAAAAGAATGAATCACTTCTAATTTTCTTACTGCTCACAAAATCTCAGCCTCCCTTGTTGGACTGCTGCAAGCACCTCCAACCAGTGCCCAGCCACTAGCTGCATGGACTCCCCATGCTCCTGCCCCTCACTATCCCAATCCCAATACAAGGTAATGAAAGCTGGCCCTGCAGCTGGCCTGAGGCTTGGATGGTCTATGGCGGGTGGTGGGCATGGGCAGGGGATGCTATCTTGACAATAAGGACTTGATGATGTCATCAATGAGCCTGTATACATGGAGAACAAAATAAGCAGGATGCCTCCAGGACCGGAAAATGACAGTGACATCCTCCTGTTCAGCAGCTAATCACAAATCGAGTACACTGAGAGGAACAACGAACCTCACCTCTGAGTACAGTCCCCCAGCAAGCACTCACTACCCAGGACTGCTGTCGGACGGCAGCACAGTGGGGGAAGGACAGAGAGGCAAGTGGAGCCCAGCAGGAACCCACATGGGGCCCGGGGTGGTGGAAAGGTTGACATCCCAAAGCTCGGGAGTAGCAGCTGGGGTGGAGAGAAACAGGAGCAGGGTTTGGGGCAAGCCAAGGAGGGGAAAAGAGATGTCCAGGTTTTAGGACAAAATGGCTTTCTCTAGGCCTCAGGCCGTGGACCTGCAGCAGGTGGGGAGGACGGGGCAGCTGGATGTACTTGGCAACCACTGTGGCATGTGCCATGAGGGAAGACGGAAGGAAGGAAATAGTCACCACCTGTGTAACATAGTCTCTCCCTTTTTCTTTATTCCAAAACGGCTCCTAAGACTGGATCAAAGACAGAGTGGGCAGGAGGCAGCACCAGAAATGTCCAGTGCCAGTGGGGAGCTGGGAGGTGCCCCTGAGGCCCCACCCCCTCCCCTCAGCCCACAGGGTACCCAGGACTCTGCACCCTTGGGGCACCCCCTCCTGGCCTGAGTCACCCAGAGCCTACTGCCCCCTTCCCCGTGCCGGCGCCACCTAGAGAGGGCGCTGCCGCACATGCTCTCCCAAGCCCCCACCTGGCAGGGACCCCAGGGGGAACCGCCCCTGGGCTGAGCCAGGCTGTCCAGGAGGGCCCGTCCCCTCCCCTCCCCACCACATCATGCCCGGGCGGCAGGGACGCACGTGGGGCGGCAAAGGCAGAAGACACCAAACTAGGGGGAAGAGGCCTCTGGGGACGGCCCTGGTGAGAGGCCGCAGGCCAGATCAGGCGGTGAGCTGGAGGCCACCCAGAGAGGCAGGAGGGAGGGAGACTGGGGCCTCCCAAGGGAGACCAAGCAGATGAGACCAACAAAAGGAGCACTGGGGACCCCCACCCTGCTGGGGCAGATGGCCTGGTGACCCAGCCACACTGAGGAAACCCCGGGTGGAGGGGACCCAGCAGGCTACTGGGGGAGACGGAGGGTGCACAGGCTCGGCCCCCTCAGCCAGGCTCTCACACCGGGTATCGCGGCCTGGCCTCTTGGCCCGGACCCGGTGGGGGTGGTGGCGAAGCCCTACCAGGCCCCAGGCCCGAGCCCTGCTGGCCAACAGGTGTCCGGAGCAGAGGGGAGATCCCGGCCAGTCGGGCGCAGCCCCCAGAAGCTGCAGGTTCCGCCTGAACTGAGTCCAGGGAGGGGAGGGCAGGGAAGGGGAGGGCACGGCCCAGCTGCCTGCCCCTCCCCCCAGCCACACCTCTGCACCTCAGCTCTCCCTTCTGCCCCTCACAGCCCAGTCCTCCACTCCCCAGGGATGCTGGGAGGGGACCCGGGAGAGGAAAGGAAAGCAATGGGCCCTCAGAGCCACCCTGCAGCAAGGGAGGCCCGGCACTTGGACGACAATGGGAACACTGGCCAGGAGTCCCTCGGGGTCCCCCAGCACAGGAAGGTCTGGGCTCCACTCTAGGGCTCTGGGCTCCTCTGGGTGCACCTGGGAACGTGAGGGGGAAGCTTAGGGGACTGGCCCGGGGGACAGGGACAGGCTGGGAATAAGGCAGAGAGGGCGCCGGTCCCACCTGGGGCTGAGGACAGGAGTAAGTGACTGTGGGACCATTGCCGCCACCACCCACCCCCAATTCAGGAACACGCTCACACAGAGAGGTACCCAGACATCCGTGTGGCGGTGCCCTCAAACATCCAGGGAGGAACCGGGTGCCCCGGGCACGTGGACAGGCGGTCGGGACCCAACTGAGGAGCAGACAGCGCCCGGTGGCTGGCGGGAGGTGCCTGACCAGGGTCCCAGGCACAAGGCAGAGGGCCCCGGCCCCGGGCAGGATCTCTCCGAACAGGCGCTGCACCCACTGAGGAATCCCAGAGATGCCGAGTGCCCTCCCCAACCCCCGCCTGGCCCCCCCAACAAAAGGCCAGTGTGTGTCCTACCCTGATGTGGTGTCCAGGGCGGGCCACTCACAGGCTGGGACACCCCCTAGACCAAAGAGAACCCCTAGCCCCAGCTGACAGCGGCCTGGGGCCTGTGGGAGGCAAGCAGGAGGCAGGGAACCAGCCAAAAAGGGCGCCACGCCAGGGCATTCTCCAGTTGCCACCAGGACCCAATTCCCCACAGGTACCAGGTCTCCTGGAAGGCAGCACCCTGATCCGGAGCAGGAGCGGAAGTCCCAGACCAGGGACGGCCGACGAGGTCCTGGGTGGCCCTGGGTACCGGTGCCAAGGGCGGCTGCTCTGTCCCGAGAAGCCCCCGGGTCCTGCCTGGGCCAGCAGCAGCTGCTGGGGGTCCGGTGGTTCCGAGCTCCGGCCAGGGTGCTCTGGGACAGCCCCTCTGGGGACCTCGATGGAGCCAGTGGGCCGGGGTGGTGGGCCACTAAGTCAAGGTGGGCGCGTGGGTCAGGACGGGGTCTGGCTGCTGTGGTGACTGTGACTGTCCCATCTGCAGAAAAGGCCACTAGGAGAGCACCCCTGGGGCAAGGGTGCCGTGCAGTTAGGGGAGGGAGGACCCTCCCCGAGGCCCTCACGCCAGGGGAAGCTGGGGCCCTCCACACTATTCCTCCCTGCAGAGCCACAGGACGGGAAGGTGGCACGGCTCAGTCAGAGGAGGGAAGGAAAGAGCAGGCAGCAAGCGGTCAGACGCCCCAGGAGTGTAGGGGCACAACGGGACAGACCGTGTCCTGAGGTTCCTCAGGACCCTTCGGGCTGTTCCCACGGGCCACAAACACATTCCTCCATGGAAGGCCCAGCAACCTGTTCTCCCGAGGTACAAGGAGTGCAAGGTGGCTTTGGAAGGTTCCCGGAGCTATCACCAAGGGCCTCGGTGTTGCCCAGAGACATGAGCCAACAGTAAAAGCACTTACCACCCACAGAACCTCTGTGACAAATTCAGAGGCACCAAAAGCGTCATCAGGAAGTCACCTCTGAGTCCGAGCCAGGAAGGATGGGGCACGTCTCCAGGGAAATGAG